GAACAAAGACAAGTAATTTGGTAGTCATCGATTATGTGACCTTTTCCGAATAAGTTTCATTTTCTCGTTTAGAACATCAGTGTCATAGTCATTTGAAAATTAAACCAGGATTCGATGCCAAGTATTTGTAAACATATATTTCACAACAAGGATTTATTCATATTATAATATTATTTCTGTGTTTATTTTTTTCCTTAAAACCTATGAAGCAATGCTATTATTGTGATACGTGTAATTTGAAATTTGTAATTTGTAAAAAAAATGGATTTTGCTTTTGCATCTGCAAACATTTTTTTGTGCATATATTAGAAAACAAGCAATACGCATGAAATTAGTTATGGGTTGTTCAAACTTATTATCAAAATCCTTGCCTTTTTTACAGTAGCAACATTGAACAATTATATCTTGTAAAAACATATGGCAATGGCTGTACATAAGGGAACATTCAAAACTCAACATTCAGTCTAAAAATCCACTGTATACTGGGTTAACAGGGCAAAGTGAACTTTTTATCTTATTACTAATGTGAACATAGAATATACTATTTAGAGTGCTAATACTGTGTAGTTTTTGAAAACGTATAACGTTGTGACTTAAAACTAATATACAATTGTCATGCTTAAACAATGACGTCAACGCGCTTTTTAGGAGCTGTGGCAAGTACAGATACAAACCAGTAAGCTGATTAGCGATCCGCTTCTTTTATAGAACGAACCACATGTTTTCGGCTGTTGTCAGGGTAGGACATGAACGTAGAACTAACGTCGGCTTATAACTAAAAGCGGGCCCCATGTACGAAGTTCACAAAGAGAATTCAGTCTTCCGAAGTCATTTCACTTTATTACTATCACGTCTTTTGCTGTTATTGTTATTATATTCACGCAAATTGAACCTTTAACTCAGATTTCGATAAGATGACAAATTTGTCCGACCAATTTCCGAATGTATTTTCTAGATTCGTTGGGACTTACGATTATACAGAGAACAATGTCGGCGCCAAAATAAAAGCATGATCATTTGAACACTACTATTACAAGACTGGTAGAAGATGATACATTTGGCGCGAAAATAATCAAAAAACAGTTGTTTGTTGTTGTTACCATGGCAACAGTGAGCCAGGAATTTTTTTCAGATTTTACTAGAGTAAAGGTATTGTCTACCAAGTATGAACGAAATCGGTCCAGCAAAAACAATCACAGAAGAGTTAAAAAGCCGTTCCTGGTTACCCAAACTTTGAGGTAAAATTTCTTGGTGATTAAAATAAATATATCAAAAATACAAAGAGTAACTTTGTGTTCACACTCAAACTAAGTAGAATGAGATATGTCCGAGATTTTTACTCCTGGATTTGTAGAAGTAGATCCATTTGGCACTAAGGAATTCAAACATAAGTTTTTTGGCTGTTGCCATGAAAGCAATCGGCCAGGATTTTTTTTTCAGATTTTATCACGTAACTAGAGTGAAGGTGAAAAGTGACCTGCCTGTCAAGTTAGAAGAAAATTGCAATAATTGGCCAGCCAAAAAAATAACAGAAACGTTAATACGTGAAGACACACACACACACACGAACGCACCCCTCCCACACACACAAAGATTAAGGGCAATCTTAGACGAGCTGGTCGCCAAAAGAATATCAATGTGTATAGTATTTGATTGTGAGGATATGGTGGGCATCAGGTAACTTCAAAATAACGCGCCAATACAATGCCGTAATCACAAGGTACGTCAACAGATGGCATTTGAACCCGGAGATCCGGGTTTACCTTTAGAGAAGTGAACTAAACATTACAATCACTCATTCCTTCAACGAAACTGATATGTTTTAGGAGCACTGCCAAATCTGGATAACACAGAATACTCTTTCACAACGCCTTAGACGATATTCGAGTCAGATTTCAAATTCTCAGTTTATCTTACATATAAACCCAGAAACATACCCACATATTCCATTAATACGCTGCCTTGCTCATTGAGATCCCGTATGTAAGTGGTACTTGTGTTATTGACGTATGTTGCAGAACTGTTTATGGTAGATTATAATGAAAGAAAATAACATGATACTTGTCGAATATCGCGCAAAGTTATGACGTCACTTTAGATATATGCCGAAGCGTGCGCAAGGTCTGACTGCTGCACTTGAGACAATACACAAATTCAACATCATCAAAATCGAAATAACAGCGCAGTGTTAGCAGTACAACACTACTACAATTCTTAATCACATCATAAATAAACACATATAACACGAAACGAGATTAGAAATTAATTAAATTAACAACAAAAAGTTTCATAATTGTGACATTTACCTTGTATACAGTATTAGTTTTCTTTCGAGATGGTTGTCACATCAATCAATGCCAGGGCTGTTTGGGACTACGCTGTATCTTCCACCAGTATTTAAAACTAAGTTTCAGCAACTCGTTTTTTTTTTGTATGTTTCAGCGCATGCGTCGAACCACGTGCATAATGAGTCCCATCGACAACAATATTAGCGACAATACTCACTTCGACTATGGTGTCGTCATTAGGGGGAGTACGTGCATTAATGTGACAATAATAGAGAAACGCATAGTGGCTATGGGTTTTGGAAAGTCAGTGTGCTGAAATGCAACAAGACATTTTATTGGCGGTTCGAACAATAGCATTACGCTTGAGGGCGAATGACAAGCATAGTTTTAGAACAGGTCAGAAAAGGGGCGTGTCTGAAATAACAACATCAACGTTTATAGTTTATAGGCCTGAGCCTTAATCCTGACTAAAAAATAATTTGTTTTCAGGTCAAATACATTTGATTGTTCAATATAATTTGAGTCTCAGAGTGTTACTTTTTTTAATTTTTAGTCTGTTGGTACATTAAAGTCGGTAATGCTACCGTAGCCCCTCTCTGTCCCACCTCTGTTCTCTGATCAGAACCACGGGAACGCAAATGTCTCATATCATTCTTCGTGAAGACAGTGTTGTTTCTTGGTAAACATTGCTGTGAATGTTATTACATTAGAATACTGACGCGTTTTTGCCAGGAGCGCAACCCGGTTTGCAAGTCAGCCTACGCATGCGCCGTAAAATACATGGAATGTTTTCAGCGCCAAGTCAAGTTAAGTACAGTAGGACTTATTGTAGCCATCATACCTAAAAAGACTCCAGAATCGGGTTTTCATATCGTTATATAAAAATATGATTGTAGAGATCGGTATCGTCTTTTCCCTGGGCAATTTAGATTCAGAATCATATATATTGATATATAACCCTATTCACATATACCATTCATGACTCCCGTGTGCGAAGTGGTCATTGAGCTCCGCTCAGGTGTTACTGGTAGTTTTAAATGAAATCGGTTCATGCATGACCGAGATATAGCCGAGGATGCACGCAAGTAAGTTGTAGTTAGCCACCTCTGTTCTGTTACATCAGAGTACGGCTGGACTAACAATTTTATAATAATAAAATAGTAAAGCTTGCTAACGAAATGGGACGGCAGTGCAAACTAGTTGAAACTGGAGATCCGGGCTTCTATAGAAATCAACGAGCAATGAATTCAGCCATAACGCTTGAAGTAGAGGTTGTTTGCTAGCAATCATAAAATACTTGGTAGGCACCACTGTTTTTTCATTAGTGTTTTATTTAATTTTTGTACCTTATTTATTTTTTGTTTTGTTTCTAAGATGTTATTCACCATGACGGTAGAGCGAATGACATAATACTAGTGCAGTGTTACGACCAGACCAGTTGTTAACGAATACATTTGGGCTGGAAGACATTATCGTGTAAGACGTTAATAGTTTATATTGTTAAAAAATGTATGTCAACACAATGCCGTGAGATAAAATAGTAGTTGAACCCGGATATTCGGTTCTCTATAGAAACATCAACAAAGAAACCAGTGCGAGTACTAAGTGGTCATGCAGAAGGTGATAGACTTTTAAATATAAATTAAGCTTTAATTGCTCATATGCTTTGTTAATGTTACACTTTTCAAGACTCAACG